TCAGAGCGCAGAATTGGAGAACCAAATGACTTCGGTGGAGCGCATCCTTGAATACAAGTACTTAACTAATTTTTTAATATCTTTGATATTTATTACTTTACGCCGCGTGCTTATCTTTATATACCCGGATCGAACTATACATGGATATTTTGAAAAAAAACATTAAATTCTAGGTCATACATCAATTTAAACTTATTTTATGAAGGGTAGTACATATAAAATAATAGTGTGGCGTAGACGACTGAGAAAAAGTCCGTGCAGCAATCTCTATCAAAATGTGACACAATAAAATAACAGTTAATATATTTTCTGTTTCAATCTTTTTCCAGTAAAGTGGACAGCGAGCCTCCTCTCGAAAGTGCTCCTGGTAAAAAGCCCAAGTCCGAATGGCCGCAGGAAGGCAAGATCGAGTTCAAGAACGTATTTTTGCGCTACGCGCCGCTGGAGCCGTCGGTACTTAAGAATATTAACTTCGTTATCTTTCCGCGGGAGAAAATTGGCATCGTTGGTAGAACCGGCGCTGGCAAGTCATCCTTAATCCAGGCGCGCTTCCGCCTGTCCGACATGGACGGTCTGATTAAGATCGATGAAGTCGACACAAGCTAGATTGGCTTGCACGATTTGCGCTCCAAGATCAGCATTATCCCTCAAGAACCGTTCCTGTTCTCTGGCAGCCTGAGACGGAACCTCGATCCGTTCGACTCGTATATGGACGAACCACTATGGCGAGTTCTTGAGGAGGTCGAGTTGAAGGAGATGGGCTTGGAAGCCCACATCAATGAGGGCGGCTCCAATCTCAGCGTCCGCCAACGGCAATTGGTCTACTTGGCACGAGCTATTGTGAGGAACAATCCAATACTCGTGCTGGACGAGGCGACCGCGAATGTGGACCTGCGAACAGACGAACTCATCCAGACAACTATGAAGAAAAAATTCGAGAAGTGTACAGTGCTAACAATTGCTCATCGACTCAACACCGTTATGGACAGCGATCGTATGGCTGGCCAATGGCGATGATTGCCATTGGCAAGATCAATCTTGGTGATGGACGCCGGAAACGTGGCGGTGAGTCAATTTTCTTTTATTTTGTCTTTTTAAGAATTTTATGATTAGAGCGACCCATCGAATAAATTTAAGTAGGTCTCAAAATCTTTTCTTTCTGTGGTTGTGAAAAATCAATGTAACTATGAATTTATCGGTCATTCTTGTGACATATTTTATACTTCTCGTTCCAGATTATGAAATTTATTTACAA